ACGCTTACTCCTCTTCCTCTTTTTTTTCCTCTTTTGACGTTCATTGACAAACTTTGGTTTTCACAGCATTAACGTATGTGATGCTTAGCAAGGCAAAGAGAGTGAGTGCTGTCAGATGGGGCCCCCTTAGGGAGGTTTTCTACTGTCATTTTGGGCTACTGCTGTGGTTAAAAGTTGTTCAGCCCTTAGGGACCCCCTACTGGTCTGGGGCCCCAAGCAGTTGCCTGCCTTGTCTGTTTTAAAAAATCTAACAGGTGTTAAAAACAACATTTACCATGTTTTATTTTATTTGTCATTATATTTTTTTTCAGTAAAATAGTTGTCTTGTATAAACACAACATTTGCTATCAGTATTATAATCAGGGTCGTCTTACTCGGGTCAATCCAGTATTTACCAACTTATTAAACCAAGACAGAGCTTGTCTCAATGCCCTAAAGCCAACACTTCACAAAAAGACACAAAAATATTGGCTTTATAATGATTATCTTTTTCTTTCTTTTTCACTTTTTCAATCTAGTTATTTCAAAAGCAAAGCCCTAAGCCATCTTTTTTTTTTTTTTTTTTGATGTCCTAACATAACACTAAGCGCACCAAATCAGCATGTAAATTTATGGCCTGCCATTTCTGACTGACTGCCTTTTGATGGTCCCGTCGTGACATCCTCTCAGTCCAGACGGTTTAGAGAAATCATGTCTCAGCAGAGCACAGGCCGTGCAAGACTAAAGTGACAATTTGCTTCAGTCCAGGATAGAAATACACACACTGGCACATGTTAACATAGCACTTTTAACAATATTACCATTTTGGAAAAATTATTTTATTTTTTCAGTTTGAGAAGAATTTGCTGGGAAGATACCAATTTTTGAGACAGACTTGATTTAGCATGTTTTTAAAAGAACATGTTTTCTTTTTATTGTCTCAAAGGTTACCAACCTGCTAAGCTCCTGATGGATTGTGTTATTATGTGTGAATTAATGCAATGGAAAATAATATCCATGGGAAGGAGTTGAGTTGTACAGCGTCCTCTGTGATCTTCCAGGCCTTTTCAAGTCAAGGAAACATTGAATAAAAAAGCTCACCCAAAAACTTGACACCACGTGTGTCATATCAAACCCATGAAATAAAAAACTATAGCCAGTTAGCTTAGCTTTCCTTTGCATTCAGACTGGACACAGGGAGCCCACTATGATCAATGTTACCTCAATTATTGTGTGATTGTTAATTTTTCACTCTTAAGTTTTTTTTTATTGTTTGCCTTATTTGGACAAACTACATTCAGTGTACTGAGGTTTAATTGTGCTTTAATTCACTTTTGTCTTTATTTTGAGTGGTTAGACTAAGTCGAGCTAACCAGCTGCTGGCGGAAGCTTCATCTTTACGCTTTACCTATGATTGGTATCGATTCTGTTTTCCAGCTAATAATGAAAAATGCTCTCCTCTCACAGAAATGCAATTTTCTTATACATCCCCTGCTGTATTTATAACTTTGTATCCTGACACAAAATCTTTGCTGTCTTTAATAAGGCTTCTCTTTGACACCACTTCTCTCTTGTCTGCTCTAATTATCCGCAGTGTATCGACTGCTCAGTGAGCAATTTTTTCTTTCTTTTTTTTATAAAGACCAACCTCAGAAAGTTTATTTGAAGATATATCGAGGGTGTCTCCGTTTGTATTTAAGGGGAATGTACGACAGGATGATACAAAGTTGTGCTCTTAAAGGTTTGCTGCTTTCGCTCGGTTGTACGCTCAAAGCTCAGCAAGCCCCTCATTATACTGCCGACAACTGATCCACAATAGGAGGCTCATGGCATATTTCGCTGTGACATACGGGATGACGGCTCCGGGAGATGCTTGGCAGGTACATAACAGTGGCTCAAGTAATTGGGCTACAGGGGACATTTTGAAATGACCAAAGCCGGTAAACTCAGGCAGACGAGTTGGTAACGAGAAGCAGCATGAGCTGGCATTTTCACACACGTTGCAATGTCAATACTGTGTGTATCACAAACTATGGTACCAAGGAGGCGGCTCTGATTGTGTTTTCTTTTTCAAATTGCTTTTCTTCTCCGTGCAAGAGACACTGTCTCAGTCCAATTAAGAAAGGAAATATAAGACTGGAAAAACAAAAAAGGGAATGGCAGCATAGAGTTACTTAATGGGCCATTGGGCCACCACGATCTGCACTGCTGCTTCACTGCTAATTGGTGTAGACTCTACAAATGTCAAGAAAGATGCAACAACATGTTTCAGTGTGATCCACTTCATAGTGTTACAGGAATATCCTATAAAAGGTTAAATCAATGCAACATATGTATGCTGTCACAGAAAAGGTTAGCATAGCAATGTAGGTAATTAGAATCACTGCTGCGGGGGTTTGTTGCTACTACTGTGTGCTGCATCTGCAGCTATAACAAGGAGCCCCTTTTATTTATCAGTGTTTTTAACTTCCACTAGATGTTATCGAGATGGCATATTAGGCTATAACTGAGACATGTCCTGGTATGTTGGAGTTGCTATCGGACTGTCTCTACTTTGTTTCTTCTATTTGCTGCTATTTGCGCCTTGTGTTCTGATTTCCAACTACATTAGATTCATGCTGATTTTATATGATAAACTGCCTTCAACATGTCTGTAAATGATTTTTAATCACTGGAGGTCTGGCTCGGTGTTTCTCAGCCTTTGTCTTCTTCCCTGTTCGCCCAACCATCCTGAAAAATGGCCGAGATCTGAACAATGAATCTGTTCTTCAACCATGAGTGAATCTACATTTAGGCGACAGAGATTGCAGTGGAATGCAGTGTTGATGATCGGTCCATGCTGTGTGTGCTTTGTCCAGCCGGCCATGCACTAAATAACTGCTGTCCTGCCTCCCGTTCAGTGGAGGTTATTTCTATGGCGCTTTAAAAGTACGGTGACACGGCACTTAATTAGCCCTGAGTGCAACATCGGCACAGTTTTCTTTATTTATTCATGGAATATGGTTTACATAATCCTAATGCTAATGCAATCATTTGGTGTCCATTTTATGCCTTGTGGATATTCATCCAGGAAGCGAAACAAAAAACTATCCTGTCAGTATTGAGATCAACCGTGGCTTCTCGGGGAGCAGAATCTGCTCTCAGATTGGCTTTCATTTACATCAACGCTGCCCTTGGTGGGGCCGACTGAACCTAAATCAAACCAGGAGGTTACACAACCCATTTCCTCCATCATTTTTCACACTCACATTTTTCACGCTGTTTTCCTTATTAAAGTTGTATCCAGGAAGTACATCATGCACCGCGCAATGATTACTTGCTATCATAGGCTTCAGTTACATAGAGGATTGAATGAATCAGAGATCTACAGTTCTCCTTGGCTTATCCATCTTTCACAGAATGGCACCAAGAGGAACTATGTTTTCTTCTTTCTGAACTGAAATATCTGCCATGTAACTCAGGATTTTAAAACACATAGTTACAGACTTGATGATTAGCATTACTTGTTGTTTTATTTTATGTTAAAAGCCAAACTCATTATGTGTTAGACAGTATATAAATGGTTTATGAAGCCAACATGAAGTAACCTTTTGGTTTTTGGAACACCATTTTGAAGTCCCTATTGGTTTTATTGGAGCCAGAACTAGCAGTGATTGACCGACAAAGGATTCCCTTAAATATAAGAAAATGTAATCAAAAGCACTGAAAGAGCTAACAAGCAACGTTAGGTAGGTTTTTGCTAATAAGTGCTAACATATAAATACTAATAGGCCCTAACAAAAAAACCTGGAGTACAGACTCCTCAGACGATCTTTAGACACAAATAACTCCACAGCAGACAATTCTTTCCTATATTTTATTTTCCAATTCAGACTTCTACGGCCCAGCCACTCATGTCACCAGGTGGAGGTCTTTTAAGTGGTACCCAGAGTTGGCTCAAAGTATGATGATGGAGACTTGTGTTACTGCGGTCCTTCTCTGTAGGGCAAACTGCCTGTTGATCCGACATCCATCACGACTGTCTCTCTTTCTATTCTCTGAAGCGAATACTCTGTGCATGTGCGTATTTGTGTTTGCCAGTTTGTTGGTTGTTTTAATATATTTTGCTATCGTTTTCTTTATGCCATTTTTTGTGTCTGAGTGCTATGTGGTGTGTTTGATGTCGACTGGATTATTGTTTTAATGATCTGATGTCTGTGCCTTATTCCTGGTTGGAGGATTTTTTTTCTTTTATTCTTGTATTCTGTGCATTTACCCTCAAAATAACACACTTAGCTTACCGTCTGAGGAAATGTGCTCTATCAATTACGTTTTCCCCCCAAAATATACAAAGAACGCAAACACAGCTTTGATTTCAAGAAGAGTATAGCTCATAGCAGAGGTCACATCCAAACCTCTAGCTTTTAAACAAAGTGACCACAACCCAGATAGATAGATAGATAGATAGATAGATAGATAGATAGATAGATACTTTATTGATCCCGAGGGAAATTCAAAGCATCCAGTAGCAGGTTACAAAGCAGACATGACATGAAACATTTGTTACACGTTAACACCTTTAACCCATAAAAACTGAGAAAAACTGGGAAATTAGCAAAAGAAACAGCTTTTTGTAACAGACTGTAAATATGTGTAATTCTGCTGTAAAGTTGGGCAAATAGTGTGGGACCTTATATGAATTGACTCGCTGTTGGAGCCACCCTCTAGTGGCCAGATGTAGAACTGTAGTTTTGGGCTCTTTTTAAATGTATTTGCAGTTTGAACAAGAAAAATGTGTGAAATTAACAGCAATTAACATTTTTTTTACCTTTTCAATAAATAACTTCTGAACAGAGAAAAGGCCTTCAAAAGAATTAAATGATGCAGCATTATACCTGTAACCAACAGCCTTTTCCTTAGATTCTAAAAAGCTATCTTTACAAAAAAAAAACTTTTATTCACTCCTAAAATATTTACCACATTTATCTGATTTTAAAAATGTGTTAATTATTCAATTTGCCTCTCTTTTTATTATTATACAGGCACCACAAGGCTTCCTCGAGACGGGGAGGTTCCAGGAGTGGACTACAACTTTATCAATGTCGGAGATTTCAGGATCCTGGAGGAGAGTGGACTTCTACTGGAGAGTGGCACCTACGATGGTAGGCATGACAACAGTAGTAAATAAATAAGACACCTGCATATGTGTGTGTGTGTGCCTGCATGCATTTATGCACACGATTCACACTGACAGCTCTCTGTAATAGTGTGACTGGAAGCTCGATATTCACAGTCATTATGACTTACAGCCGGCCTTAGTGAAATGTGACAAGCGAGACAAAATGTATTGATCAGTGAAACATGATTAAAGACTTGTTGGAAGTGACAGTCAGATTAGCAGCGATACTCGCAGTCCTTCAGATGAACTCGACTATTCAGTCTCTGCACACTGTGTGTAAAATGAGAAATTTAGAGATAAAGTATGCAGACGCTATATTTATGTGGAAATGGAAATTCTGTAAAAAAAACAGGACAGGGCTTTTCAATTTTTTGGCAGCAGGGATTAAAATAAACTGTACATTTACCAAAACGTCGATGTCCTACCTGCCAGCTTAGTAGAACCAGAAATAACCAGCACAAAATGGAAGATGTCTTCTCAAATGCTGATTCTTATTTTGTGCAACATTTAAAGACTTTGTTGGGGGGGGGGGGGTGTTTCAAGGCTTCTTATGCTTGTTTGTGGTTGTATGTTTGGTGTGTCAAATGCAAAAGTACAACCAACAACATTAGTGCTGCAACGCAATTATACAGAGAAGCTGAGATGATCAATTGTTTTCAACATATTTCAAGAACAAATGTCACACCATTTGAAAGATTTGCAAGTTGAAGTTTCTCACAAAAACAGATTTGCTGCATTTTGTCATTTTGTAAACGAGAAGCCTTTGGGTTTTGAAGTGTTGGGTTGACAAAAGAATCTATTTTTCCCGTCCCATTGGGCCTTGGGTAATTGTGATTAGCATTTTCACAACTTTCTGACATTTGAAGCTCAGGATGAGACAGCTTTCTCACCTGCAGCTCTGGAGCGCTCTGCCTCTATGAGTTCAGCTGTCCCCAACTCTGCCTGTTACTAAATCAAACCTCAGAATACACTTCTCTGTTCCTTGACATTTGGCTCGACATGAGAGGTGCCTTTTTAAAATAATTTTTCCTTAAAGTAACCATTTTCATATTGGTCTTTATGTTATTTTGATTTCTTAATGCATGTTTTGTACCAGAATTTGAGTGTGCTCTATTCATACATTTGGTTAAATGTTGTTAAAATTAGAGATCACTAATGCTGGGAATACACTTTATGATTGTAAAAAAGCCGTTGTAGAACGTTCGGTTCCCGACCCAAGTCCCTACAGACTGAGCTGCTGTCACCATCAAAAACACGCCGTCAAACGCACAACCCCAGTCTGCATCAAACAAACAAAAGTTAGTTAAGCTAAATCACAACAAATAGTCCCTGGAAGCTGGAGGTTTGCTGCTTTCTTCCTGCCAACATTTCTGTTGCTCATATCTTTTGCAATAAAAAGGCAAGCCTGCTCTCTGCCAGTTTGCTCTGGCGCAATCAGGAGAAAAGCCCTGAAGTTGTGAATTAGCTAGCGGCTCTGCTCTCAATTTGAGTGGATGTACTCGTACAACTTAAATTTCAGACAAACTAGAAATTCATCTGACTAGTCGGAAGCGGCAGATAGAATCATGATTGGAACTTGTGCCCACTGACACATTTCAGGGCAAACATTGGACTTTAAACGTGCGACTGGGTTCAGAATCGGCCTGAAATCATAGAGTGTATTCCTCTGATTAAGTTCTAATAACTTTGTCTTAATGCATGCAAAATAAATCAAAGAGTAGGCTCATTTTGTTGCCAAATCCATTTAATTATAGAGTTAGCAATTCCAACATGTATTTCCATTTCTACATCTTTATTTGGATTAAATCTTAGGCAGCAGGACAAACTACAGCTTTCTAAAGTCCTCACCTTATATGCTATTGATGTTTTTTAAGCGCATATGTGTGTCTGTCACACAAACAGATGTTCTTGAATTTTTCAGTGCAGACGATGTACCTCCCTGTTTGTGTTTATGCGTCTGTTCCAGCCTGTTCCAATGTACAGTGGATATTTAAACAAGGGCAGTGTTAGCATGCACGCAGCTGTAGCACCTGATGGTGACCTTATGTAAACCAGTCAACCTGCTGCTCCCACCGGCTGGCTGCACAGTCACACATCAGGAGGTCCCACTTGTGTTCTTACTCTCAAGTCATGCTTTATTCATGGGATGAACCAGCCTCGTCCTTTTCCTCCCTCTCTTTTCTCACAGACTCAGCCGCTAAGCTCCGGCTTGTGCAAAACTTGAACTTGAACTTTTAGAATGATTTAAAGTACCTCTAGTGTTTGTTTGACAGAACCTTTCCGTGGTGAACACATCAGTGGTGGATGATATTTTCTTACAACAAGCACCGGCATGTTCTTTCCAATAAGGAGTTTACACAAGCAGGGATTTCTTTTTAGCTGAATGGCTAAGCATTTACCATTCATAACACCTTGCTCTACAATAGAGAATAATCACTTGCCCCATATTGAGAGGTCTCGGAAAGTCAGACGGTCGCTGTGTATTTGTGTCATGAGGGGATTGGAGCGGAGGATTTTTCTCACATTGCGCAATGATTATGGCAATAACATGATAATCTTCCTGCTCTCTTTAAGCTCATTCTTTCTCGCTGCAAATCCTGGCTGCTGTGAAATGGGAGAGGATTTTTCTAAATGCTTAAGGGACAACCTCTGGTCACGTGAGTGGACCTTCTCAGCGCCATCCTCTCATTCAGCGGCAATGCCGTGCCTCCACTACGAGGAAGAATTAAAAGATAAAGTCAAATCCTCATCCAAAGAGAAAGAGAAAGTGCCTTATGGCTCGGTGTAGCTTTTTGTGGATGTGCACGGGTGCATTTGTTGGAGTTTGTGTGTCCATTTATGGATGTGAATACTGTAACATGCAGTAGGCCTGTGGTAGCAGGGTTTTTTTTGCAGCTGCCTCTGATCCTTGTGACACTCTGATCCTTCCCCCTTTTTTGGAGCACGGTGGAAGAAATACATTAGGCATACTAGCATGCAGGTATACATACTGCAGGAGCATACACTTTCATGTCAGCGCACACAAAACGAATGCTGTCTCTTGTTGCGTTTCCTGTAGATCATCTCACTCGAAGATCAGCTTTCGGGAGCTGCCAAATCGCCCACGAGTTGTCCTTCGTCTCTGAGCTGATTCCAGGAGGGATTTACACCTTCATAGAGGGTGACCGTGGGAAGAGAGGGAGATGGAGAGTGAACTGAGGAGGAGCGTAGAATAGAGAAAGAGAGAGTTGATGTAGAGGCATGCTGAGCTCTTCAGCTCCCAGCGGAGACACCCTTTGCCATGGAAAGGCATGACTGCATTGGCTGTGCACAGATGTGCGGATTAGCTTCTGAAAAGTAGGAAGTTCCAGGAAGCGATCCCTGAGAGAGAGCTGAACACTCTGATAGTGCCCCCCCCTCCCCCCTCACCCTGTTTTTTCTTCTTCCCTGTCTCTTAAACCCAGTCAGCACAAGCACTGCATGGCCACTATGACAGAGTGCTGATCTCTCAGCAGCACTCTGAACTCAAAAAAAGGAGCTGCACGTAATTGGATGGAGGAATGGGATTTACCACATTTGTTTGTGCTTGAACTGCTCTTTTTTTCTATGGGGAAAAATATAAACAAGGTCAGAGGCTCTCTTAGACAGGTTAAATTCCTCCTTTGAAGAGCTCATGAATTACCTTCAGTTTAAAAGGGTTCAGTTAGTGAGTAGTGCTCAAGGTAGCGAGCTAATGGGATTCTTAGCTAATCATAATGGTCTTGCTAATAGTCCCAAATGACATGGCAGAATGCTCATTATGTTAATGGTTCATGTAAAACAATTTTTTCTCCACCTATAAAGTACATTATAGGAGTCATTTAATGCATGGTACGCTTAATTTCCTCTTAAATTCCCTCTCTTAGACTCTTACATCACTCTTTCTACCATCCATTGAAGGCAGCCATTTTCCACTCGAGTCACACTCAGGGTGGAAAGCTTCAATGCTGTCATAATTCTGTACTGCTTTTTTCAAGGTTGCTAACCATTTACTAGCTTGACTGGAAAACAGCAAGGAGTTTAGTTTGTCATTCACTAAGGAGACAACCTCATCATTTAAAATTATCTCCAAAATTTTCATTACAAGTGATGTAAGATCAACAAGTCTATACTCATTTAGTTCTTTGGAGCAGTACTTTAGTTGATTTTTTAAAATTTTGGAATGGAAATTATAGTTGAAGTCACCTCACTGAGCTGGTCGGCACAGAATCTCAGAGTGCGCCCACTGACAGAATTGGGGTGGCAGCAGTCTTCCTTATATCTTTTTTCTTTAAGACTTTTAACTGTAACCTGATTTTGGGATATCACCATCCTCAAGTCCCTCAACCTTGAAACATCTTGAGTAAAATAACACCTTTCAAAACAAGAGAAAAACTAATTAAAAGTATGTGACAGTGTGGACCACCCCATTAATGCTGATAAGTTTCTTGACCTCACTTGTGTAATGGTTAATGGAGGCAGTTGATATCATATTGGTTGTCTGTGGCTCTGTTAGTAGAGTCGGTCGTCTCTCAACCGGAAGGTCGAGGATTGGATCCTCAGCTTCTGCAGCCACGTTTCCAATGTGTCCTTAGCCAAGACACTTAACCCCAAGTTGCTTCTGCTGATTTGTTGACGCATATGAATGTACATGAATGGGGGGAGTTAATGCTGATGGGCACTTTGCATAGCAGTCTCTGCCATCAGTATGTGAATGGGTAAGTGTGACCTGCGGTGTAAATGCACTTTGAGTATTCAGAAGATTAGAGAAGCACTATACAAGCTCAGGGCTATTGACCATTCCTCTCCAGGGTGCCGTAATATTTCCGGCTCCGAATTATGTTTCCATTTTACTCTTATAATTTGCTTTGGCCTTGGCTATCTCACTCACTGAGCATCATCTGTGCAGAAAGTAATTTTCTTTTTGTTGATAATAGTTTTTATCTCTTTAGTTTTTTTATTTGGACAGATAACAACCTTTTTTGTTGGGATAACAGAGTCCACAAAAAAAAGAGGTGTATGCTAAACGCTAAAATGCAGGAACAAATAGTTTAGCTAACTGTTAATGGTTAGCAAGCTACACCAAGGAGATCAATAGTGAAGCTACACATTTAGCTAGCAAAGCATAACAACGTGGTGAGCATTAACAAGTCAATATCTTGAGAGAAGTGTTTGATATTGAATTTTGAGATATGGTTAAACTAGTTAAAAATCAACTTAGCGAAGGAACATCATCATGCAGACTGGTGACGTACACAGGCTGCACCGCCGCATGAATCAGAATCAGAAATACTTTATTAATCCCAGGGAGTAATTTGTTAAAGAAGGGCTCATGTTTCACTTGAAGCAACTCTCACAGGACAAACTCAAAAGAATGAGTTATAAACTGTATCTACACAATTAAAGTATTAAAATAAGGGAAAATTAAGGAAGTAGTGGCAAAAGATGGCAAGTGGAATCATTAACACTGCTATGTTCGATAACAACATGTTAGCTAGGTAGAAGCTACAGTTTGATACTGAATACAACAAGGAAAACAGAGATGTAGCTAATAAAGTGGTGGTTGAACGATAGCTTTACCTGTTGGTGGTAGCTAGTAGGTAAAATCAATTGTGTGGCTTTAGATTTAAATATTTCCCAGATGTCTTTTCAGGTTTTTACTGTAATAATCAGCGGGCAGTGAAAAGATCACAATTGTCAGATTCCTCTCATTCATACATCTTAATATAGGAAAAAGGAGTACAACATTTTGACAGCATTTTGAGCACACTGAGCATGAGGTCAGAGAAAACCTCTTTGAAGACAGACTGATCAGAGGTAAGAACAGGACACAACACAACACGGTAGCCAGGTTCAAACTGTCTCTGTGGGTTCAGACTGCTCTTTATCTTGTACACCCTTGCTGCTCCATGATGGGTCCGGAGGGTCCCAGGTCGCCTGCCAAGCAGACACATGAGCCATCTGTGCCAGGCGCTGCGAGCGAGTCTTTCTGGATTTTTGGTCCCCATTCAGTCTCGGCGTCTCCGAGGTTCAGGTTGGGTCACTCTTTGAGAGAAGAACAGAGCAGACGGACAAGAACTAAATGGTCTGGTGCAGTGAAGTGTGAGACTGAAGGGACGAATGCCAGGAAACTAAAATTCAGCACATAGAGAGCTTTTCCTTTTTGCCAATGACTAATCTGCTACAGAGGAAAGCCAAAAAACTAGATCCACTTTTAAATCGTGGGTTTTTGGATTCTCATTGTGATAATGATGTGGATTTTAACAAAAGAGGGAAATCAGACTGGGAGGTTAAATTGGATGTGAATGCAGAATTTGTGCATTAACAGCAATGTGTTGGTGTACTGGGTGGTTTTTCAGTTTGTCTTTGTCACCATGTTCGTGATGTTGGGATGATAAAAGTGTGACCTTGTGAAGCTTGTGCACATTGCCCTTGACAACAGGAGTCCTTTCATTATCAGAGGCTGATTCCCAGCACCATGAAATTGCCTCCACGCACTTTGCAACAGGAGACTCACTCTTCTTGCCTCATCAACTCTGTGACACACGGATCACAAGTAACGCCAGACAAGCTCCCCTGCTCATCAGCTTACGGAGGCTTCCCTCCATTTATTAAGGCAAATGGTGCCACAAATCTTCACTGACGCGCCGCTTTCACGCACCTTCATATCTGCGACACACATTTATCAGGGGCCAAGAGACATGTTTGTACGTAATTAATCACAGAGGTAGCGCCTGGCTGATGAATGTCAGCGTGTGGCAGGAGACAGGCGGGGATTAGCCAGCAGACCCAATCTCTCCTTGCTATCGTGGTGCCACCCCTGTTAATGAAGCCATCTCTGACAAATGCGGATGAGTGTCGCTTAGTAAACAGAGAGTGGAGCGACAAGGTGGAGGAGGGGCAGGCTTTCATCATGCCTCCTTCTCCTCCTCATCACTCTCGCTGGTTTGTGGAAGACGGGCAGAGCTGCATTAACCCAGTTTGCTGAGTATTGTCGTTAGCAGGCCTGAGGAGATGAGGCCAGCGCTGGAGTGGAGATGAGCTCTAAAGAGCTCTTTTGGTGGTACAGTATCGTGCTGTAAAGCTGCTAGAGTGACTGTGATGTGTTCCTCAGAGCCCTCTGTTCTTTCTGGCATGCATACTGTTGTCAGCTCCCCCCACCACCACCACCTTTGTTGCGAGCTATAAAAAGATCTTGCGCTGATAAGTGCTGCTCTTACAGAATGGCATTTGTGATGTCTGCATGTTCACGCTTAAGTACATCAAAGGTTTATAACTCCATGGTCCCATGTGCTGCTGGGTCCACATGAAAATAAGATCAAGTTTATGGAGGCTAATTAAATTGCTGAAATCCCCTTTTCCCAGCGGTATCTCTCCCTATTCTTTAATTAATCTAATTATAAATCATGTTTCAGCTGAGAAGGCTCAATCTCATACTAACTTTTTGTTAGAAGCAAGTAAATATTTGACCTGACAAATGGATTGCCAAAGTAATTGATTTGATATTATTGCCTAGACACAACCGAGGGAGTAGCATTTAGCAAACAAATACCCATAATGAATGGTCGGGGTGGAAATTAGCATGCACATTATTTATAATCCTAATAGAGTTTGAATAATTGCATTCTTCTACGCCTAAATTGAGTTCCACATACTGCTCAGCAGCCATACATAGATAGATCACACCGTAGGCTAAATGAGGAAATCATTTAACAAAGTTTTGCTCTCTATCCCCCTCTCTTCACAGAGCGCCGTTATCCCTCGGAATATTTATAATCGTGAGGTTTTTCTTCATTAGGAAAAAAACAGGCTGAGAGGTAGATAATTGCTGTATTCAATGATCAGTGTAATTAGTTGCTGGCAAATACCGAGTGAAGTGATTTTAATGCTACATGAGTCATGACAGCCCTGCGGTGCAGTTATCGAGGGGAAACAAAGCAGGGGGTGAAGAGACGTGAAAACCATGCACAGGAAGAAGTCCCCTGAAACTTGTAAGGAAGTCAATCTTGACTGCCGTTGCGTGACATTTAGAGATTTAATTCTTGATTTAAATGAGGTGACTGTAAGACATGGTGGTTGATCTCTCCCGCTGCGTCTCAAATACAACACATCAACTGTAGTCAGAGCCTGAAATTAGTTTCCTAAAGTGGGGGTAAATTCCCCACGTAAATGCTTCACATGGGGGGTCTTTTACACTCTCAAGGGAGGCAGAATTGATTTATGATCTTACCAACAGGTATTACCCTGTTCTGAAGTATCCTCTGATTGCAGTTCTTGCTCTAATAAACTCTAATTCTCTGAACCATAATGTTATCTTTGTTGTTTCTTAGCCAGTCAGATGTTGTTTCTTTTGACAGTTATAATGTTACTAATGTTAGCAGTCTATTTCACATTACTGGCATCATTTTCTGTAGCAGAAGAATTTATATTTTGCATAATCCATAACACTTATCCTGGAAGGATTGCGACGGGCAGGGGTCTGGAGCTGAGCCCAACTGTCATTGGCCGAGAAACAGCTACACCCTGGACATGTCGCCAGTCAATCCCAGGGGGCGAAAACATAGAGATGGGACATCCACTCACTCTCATACCTATGGGACATTTTAGAGTGACCAATTGGTTCGGTTGCATGTCTTTGCACTGTTGAAAAAGCTGTAGTTCCCAGAAAGACCCGCTATAGAGAGGCACCTGTTCTCATCAAGAACCTACTTGTTGCAAGGCAACTGTGCTGACAAATGCATAGAGGTGGGGGGGAAATGATTTATGTACAAATCAAGATTCTTATCTTTTAAAATTTTAAATAGATTCATAACTTCCAAAAATCTATTGTTTTTTTTTTGGGGGGGGGGGGGGGTGCTGATCAGTCACTCCATGCTAAGTGCTAAGGCTAGCACTTTAACTGAGTAGAATGCCAAATGGAGCAGCAAGAAATTCAGCCAGTCTCACTTTGACTGGATTAGATGTACTAATTCATAAATAGACTTTGAATCCGTGGATCCATAAATCCAGAATTGGTTTGAAATGAAAATAGATTCGTAATCAAATCGTGACCCCAAGAATCGAAATAGAATTGATTCGTGAGACACCCAAAGATTCCCAGCCCTATGCACCACATCACCATTCTCTATTCTATTCAATTCTATTCTATTATTGCACATTCTCTTCCATTCTGTGCAATTCTATTCTATTCTTTTCTATTACGCCACATTCTGTTTGATTCTGTTCTATTCTAACGTATTATAAAATACAGTAGATGTCTTTCTGTATTGTTGACCTACAGTGACATTACATTAAATATGTTTAGTTACTGAATCAGCACCATGAAAGATGTTGTGCACAGTGAAGTTTGTCGAGGAGTTAATTTTTTTTTTTTTTTTTTTTTTACTTCCGACAGGTTCAAATTAACAAAGAAAAAAATCTTAATAAATGTTTGACGAGAGGGAGCTTGAGTAGAGTTCAGACTTCAGGTCATAGCAGCTCCTTCTTGCAGCACCTCTGCCTGATCAATGCTCTACACGATTATACAAACATACACTGAGTGTCTTACTGAAGTATTATGACACATAACTATACATTTGTGAAGGAATCTCCCTCCTTATGAGTGAAAGACTATTGGTAAATAAACATATTTTGCTCTATACCTGCAATCCTGCGCTTAAACTCAGGGACTGTGTAGACATTGAAAAGTTAATGGCACAATCCTACTTTCCTTTTCTGGTCTTTTATTGAAACTCCTTTTGTTTTGCTTCTTATTATTAATATTTGAAATCTCCCATTCCTCTTCCCCTCTCTCTCTGCATCTGCCAACCTTTACTTTCTAAGGTAACTACTACGGGACCCCGAAGCCTCCGGCAGAGCCCAACCTCGTGCAGCCCGACCTGGTGGATCAGGTTCTGTTTGATGAAGACTACGGTGGCGAGATTCCCAGGAAACGCACCACCTCGGTCAGTAAGATGGACAGGAAGGACAGCGCGGTCCCTGAGGAGGAAGACGATGATGAGAGGCCACCGCTGGTCAATGGATTGCCTGGTCAGTAAATGTCAGAGCTTAGGATGTCATGTTAAATAATGGCGATTCTGCTGTACTGTGTTTGTCCTTTGGTTGCGGGATTGCCACGTTAGGTCAATGTCACTGTCGCGCATGACATGAAGACTTTGGCTTGTCGCAGATTGTATGCACTTTGATGGGCCCAATGGGGGTTTGGTGAAAAAACAATACCATGCTGATCCAAACCCATCACATTAAACAGCAGTGAAATGATTGTTTTGCTGCATCTTCCTTTGGTTATTTCTCTTGAGCTCCCAACCAATCGGAATCCTTTATTAACCATTCCAGGATGGATTTTTTTTTTTTTTTTTTGCACATGCAAAGCTAATAGCATTTATTTGTTCTTTTGATTTAAGAACCAACATGAAACTGAAATGATTGTACCTGAGAGAATGAATCGCTCACACTACAAAACATGTCAGTGAAACTTTCAAGTTATCTCTGGCAATTCAGGGAGATTTTGTTTAACTAATCCAGGAAAACTATCTGCCTGCCTCTGTCACCCCACTACAGAGCAGGTGTGTAGGATGTAGTTTGTGGTGCCATCAGTAGAAAGGATTTAACATTTTGGACTTGTTCTGAAAGAAAATCATGAAAAAAAAATAACAACAGAGGCGTATTTGCTTTCATTAGTTTTCCCAAAAACTAGTCCTGAGTACCGTACAGAGTTAATCCAAAAGATGACTGGATTCAGTCCAGCTTTAACCAAAAAGATCCAAGTCTTATACAATTCTAGTTGTTTAGATATTTGTTCCATACATCTTCATCTTGACACAAAGAACCGTAGCATATCTCTAAACCCACTAGATTATTTTATTCATTTTATATACTTTATTAATCCCTGCAGACAGCTTTTGAAAAAGTAAAACAAATGAATGACAGCATCAGCAGAAACAGGGCCTCCTTTTATTCTGAAGTACAGCTGAGAGAATTTGTTGTCTCTACTGGTTGACTGTCAGAAAATGAATGTTCCAAAATATTGAGTAAATAGTCAGTCTATCTTTTTTTATCCCATTTGTTCTTGTTAATCTCTTTTGAGTTTTGACTATTAGGCAGTTCTCAGAATACAGGACTTTTTGGACCAATTCATAACCCATCCCTTCCTCCATGATAAAAGTAGAAATGTGGTCTGGGACCAGTCTCCATAAAAGTGCCAGGTTATCCAGCAGTGCTTTGAGTTTACAGAGCTAGTGGTGAACTTCCAATAGACCTCGCAGACACATGGAGCTGCTGCACTGATATTAGACATGCTTGATAATTCTCATTTAAATCTACATTATTTTATCTGTACTTTCCTAAGGAATCATTAGCCACTGAGAGAGAGAGAGAGAGCGAGAGAGAGAGAATTTAAAATAAGATAAAGCAGCTGAGATGGTTACCAAGCAACAGTAAACATATTAGCCCTTGAGGCTGGCATTAGCTAGCATAAGACAGCTGATAGATATTTACACTGACAGTTAAAATCACACTTCAACTTTTTGCTGAAGAACAGAGTCGACTGCGTCTGCCCAAACATTTCCCGGTGAAGACTTGTTGCGCCTTCTGCAGAGGGTTGTTGTCAGTCTCAGTTTAGTTTACACCTTCTACACCCGCGAGATCTCGTGAGATCAAATGAAACCATGTGAGATGATGTGTTGCTCCCTCTGGCTCACACAATGATATACACTTGTATTCTAACATCCTGCAGTCTGTGCATGAGATATCAGAGAAGAATATTTGTAATTTTTTCTTCTTTACATGATGCCACTACATTCTTATTATGGGTGAAAACCAGGCAGCAACCTCTAATGTTGGAAAATGAAGCCAGTGCTGAAGTGCAAGAAACTGCAGTTCCTCCTGTGTCCACTTGAGGCTGGCTACAAACAGCCAAGGAATCCCCATATTAACATGCCAATTTTAACATGTTTACAGACTGGTTAAAAAAAAAACTTCTTTTGAGTTTCACCCCTTTCTTGGATAGACAGCACAATGGATAGAGTCAGATGGGGAAAGAGAGACAGTGGAGAATTACATGCAGGAAAATAGCCATAAGTCGGATTCGAACCTGGACCGCCTGCTTTGACGACTACAGCTATTCAATTCAGTTCAGAAAAACTTCACACAATTAAAGCTTAAGGGGCAATTAAAGCTATGTAAACCCTCAGCCATCGGCGCCCCAGAAATGTGGACTTTTTACACAACCATACATTCAAAGTTTGCGGTTAACACTGTTGATAAAAATCCACTGTTAATGCCTCTTCAGTTATTTTCTATATTAAACTGTGCCACAGGTCACCTTGACAAAGACCCACCCAGAGAGAAGAACGCTGTGTGTGATCAATCAGGAGTCCTCGGCTCTCTGAGGAAATAATCTGTCCTTAATGCTCACAAGGACAACAGGCCCCGCGCAGAAATAGGTTACATACTGTGCACTGTACCAAGCCTCTGCTAATAAGAGAACTGAAGTTAATGCTGAGCCAGGTCCAAGCTGAGGATGTTTCCTTTTCTCTTTTTATAGAGTGAAACATTGTTTTGACAGGCAAATCTCAAACACTGCTTGCTCAGCTGTACAAAGGATTCACAGAAATCCAAAGTCTGTTTACCCAACCGCCCTGTCATATTGAAATCAAACACAAACTGATGCCCACACATCCAGGAGTTCTTTTTATGGAGAGGAACCAGTCACAAATGACTGCTCCGCTTCAGCCAGCAGCTGAGGAGAGGAAGTCTCAGAGCGGCCATAGATGGGCAGAATTATGCTCGGATGAGAAAAGAGGTTAATGGAAAATATGAGCTCTGAGTCTCTACACTCTTCACTGCAGATTTCCCCAATCTTTGCTCAGACTACCCTTATCATCCTCACCTCACTCCCCCCCCCACAGTCACTCTATAACCCATCTGGGTTGTATGGTCTAGGAGGCTCTCACCCTGCTGTGAACTTAATGACCTCAGCTGTCCTTCAGACTCTGCCTGCAGGCTGCTCGCTCCTCCAAGTTTTTACATGCGGGAGCACATGTGACATCTTCCAGGGCATGTTCGTTTTCTGTGATAGTTAGTGCTTGTAATTGTGAAGGACATTACAGTTCAAGAAGAAGAAAGTGTTTAAAGTGCTGCTGATATAAAACAAGTTCATGCTGCTCTGTGGTTGGATTTTCCACACACACACACAAAACTGAAATGTAACGTTACTGTGGTCACACCGATTTGCTTGACACACCTCTGGAAGCATATACATAATACTGGATGTTTTGCAATCTACACTGGCATTAACATAGGAAGCTATAGTTTACTTTACATGGAGATAGGTCACTCAGTGTGTATAATAAATTGCTCAATGCAAAGCTAAAATATTCCTGGTGTTACCAAAATAACCCTACACTGTAGAGCCACCACTTGTTTTCTCTGCTGCAATCTGGAAGACGTCTCAGGAGCCTTAAGACAAAACTATCAAGGTTCAAAAACAGTTTCTACCCCAGAGCCATCACTGAACTGAACTCGACAGGAACACTGCCCCAGACACAAACACCCCCCCTCCTCCACAACAACTCTGAACATTGGCAGGACTTGTGTTTGACACTGAGAATGGTGCATAACATTTATGTGCAATATTTTATTCTTTATAGTGCATTCAAATTTTAATGTACAATAATATTCAGCTTTGATGGGATGCATTTTTTATGGTGTAATAAGAATGTATAAAATAACCATGCTGCATAGTATTTAATGTGCACTATATTGTATTTTTCTCTCCTTTTCTTGAGCACCACCCAAGTGGTGAACATTTATTTTCTTCAAATAGGTTTAAAGAAAAGTTTCCGTTCCTTATTGTTGTAATTTTAGGTTAGCTTATGAACAAACTGCATGTATTTTAAACAGCCTTTGATTGACTCTTTCAAATATTCATACAAAACCAGCGCATTGTTTAGTAATGATGAAAAGCCAGGTTCACTGCAATACTTCAAAGTTGTCCATTGTCAGGAATAAATTGATACCCTGTAGCCAATCAGTATCGAGTATACCCTCAGAGCACGGTATAACACAGGTGGAATTATCTTTAGGAAATACATCATCCAGAAATGCTTTTATGTTGTGTGAGTAACATCCTCTGGCATCATCCTCTGTTGCTCCACATAAAACAGAGACGGATGAAAAGCACTTGTGTTTCATTCCTTTTTAACATCCTCTGAGGGAAGGCATGACGTTCTGAGTGAATTAGGAGAGCCTTTGTTGTTTGTTTCATATTCATTGTAGAGCGATTTCAAATAAAAGGGGAGAATGTACAAATGCAACAGAACTTATGTGAAGAGCAGCCGTAAAATATTAGTCATACAAAAACCGCCTTGGGGCTCAAATGGCCCTTTCTAGTGTGAATCCCTGCCTCTATCATTGAAACCCACAGGGAAGGTACGCACACACAGAGGCAAAAGCACTAACGCTGTGTGCACATGCAAATGCAAAACAGCCCTTTGGCGAGCAAACACACACACACACACTCACACCATTGCTCACATGCAAATCCAATGAGTGACATCGGCTCTGCCTCCTCTCTCCTGCAACAGAAGAAAAAAAACAGGAGGACAGAGGTGTTCCTGCAGGCTAACTTTCTGCTCCGTCCATCCTGTTTTTTTTTCTCCCCATAATCCACCATCTCTCTCTCTCTCTCTCTCTCTCTTTCCAGAGCACAAAGAGGGGGCAGACTGGAGGAAAGCTGTGCCCAGCTACACCCAGTCCAGCAGCACCATGGACTTCCGCACGTGGAGCTCTCTGCCCCGCGATGACAGCCTGGAGCCCCTGCCCCTCAACTGGGAGATGGCTTACACTGAGACCGGCATGGTCTACTTCATAGAGTAAGTGGGAGACTCAAACATCACGGTTCATGTGACCATTCAGAGCTGCAACAATAAGTCAACCGGCTAATTGATGAGCATCAACTGAAAGTAATTTATTTAAAGGCCTTAATCAGAGAGATATGTAAGGCGTTTATTGGTCCTATAGGGTGGACGTTTTGGAGCTATACCTTTTTCTGTGTTTTATCTTATTGTAGAACTAATCTACCTTAGTTTTGCAAAAAATTTAATGAGCCTGGGAATACAAAAATAATAAACAAATGATGAGCAGATAACTATGCATAATTTTGAATTTGTATTGCACCCGTTCTAGCTCAAAAAAACTTTTCATCCTACATTTTGGACATTTTTATCTCATTGTAGAAAACTTTAATATTCTTCCGTCTATGCTGAATTTGTGGAACTTCAACTGCTGGCTGATAAAAAGTCAAATTCTTCTGACAGAGAAGCACAGGTGAAATAAAACCCTGGCACTCATTTACAAGCTATTAAGCACACCTCGCGGAAACTAGGAAAGTCCTGAAATAAACTCCTTCCTTTGTAAATGTCAGAACGGTCCATTTTGATGAATTTACTCATTTAAAGCTAAATGAAAACTGGTGCCTCTACGACAGAAGCAAACAAGACCACGGAGATACAAATTGTCTAGCCTAAAACTTAAATTTCTAATCTAGGCTTTTATTTATTTATTTAAGATTCATTTTAGGGCTTTTTGCCTTTATTAAGACAGGACAGTGGATGGAGTAGGAGACCGGGGAGAGATCGGGTAATGACATGCAGGAAAGGAGCCACAGGCCGGACTCAAAGCCCGAGCTGCACCCTTGGAGAACTATAGCCGCTGTGCATGGTGCGCGACCTAACCACTGGCTATCTGCACCCCAGCAGCACAGGCTTTTATTAACCTCAGTCTTTGAGATGACCCTGCCTTTATTTAGGACATGGTTCATGTAATACAGGCCTTTAATCATTTTCAAAGAAAACTTGTGCCCAGCAAAGATGAGGAAGACTATAAAACAGTTCATTTACACCAGAAAGAAGATTTAACTGATGAGGATATCAATCAACCAATTAAAAAAGAAATATCAGCCTTTCGATCTTTCTTTGTGAGACAGCCCATCTTTGCTAACCTGTGGGGGGAGATTGATAGACTTCTGTTAATATTAGCAGCTATGTAAACATCTAAATGTCTTTAGTTGCTGTAAGCAGATGTTGTAGTGTGAAAGTTTTTTCGTATTAGAGATGGGACATTTTTTTTTGTGGGGTCTTATTTTCAACAATGATTTCCATCTCTTACGCCAGACCAAGCAGCAGAGTCCTCCTGGTCGCTCCTGTCACACTCTGAGGTTGAAATGTCTTTAGTCTTTATCCAGATCCGTCCTGCAGGACACTCTGAGAGGCAGCGCTTGCTTTGTGTGGATGCACAAACACACATGAATCTTCAGCTTCCTTCTGTCTCACACTTCTACACTTAAAAGCATGATTCTGTCTTTTTTTTGACTGATGTTGAAGTTCATCTCTGTTGTTTGATTTCTGGCGGCTTTTTCTCCTTATTTTCAATCAAAACTATTCCATCGCTAAATGCAAAGGGGCCTCTATTTGGGACCTGCCTTTACTTGTCAAAATCTGCAGCAACACCAGGTTACTAAACTGATCTAGGGCTTAATTGGGAGGGGCTTTTATTTGAAGTGTTATGGTATTGCTGATGGATTTTGAGGGAAACACAAAATTAAACCTGAACAAGAACATGGGATTAACATTGTGACTCAGAATCGTTTGTTTCATGAGCAAATATGGAAGAACAACTGATTATGCAGTTCTACACCGCTGTCCTTGATTACAGGCAAACATGGGAGCCACTTGTTATTCACAGGTAGCTGAGCGCTGAATTCTACTTCACTTGTATTCTACTCTGACTGTGATTTATTTAATTAAAATCATTTTCAGTTGAAGAAAATTCAAAACTAGACAGAGTCCACAGACTCCTTGACCAACTGCTCACTGTGGTCATTAGAAATGAAGTGGTAAAGTAATTTTCTGGTTGACTGAAATGCCGTTGGATCGCTTCTCCAAGTGGAGTTGCCCCCTGACGGCTGCTTGTCAAAACAAATTCAGGATTAAGACACATCAATATTGGCTCCACTTTTGTAACCATGACTCTGCCACCACTCCCAGTATCAAGAAGACTAGGGTTAGGCTGCATCAGCAGGGGGCGTGTCCAGACTTTTTGGACTGGGGTGGCCCAACTGGGGTACTGACTAATGCAGGAGTGGCCTGAAGTTTGTGTGCACACAGCTGAATGAAGAGCATTTATTTACCCCGTCTATCTGCACTAATCACATTGACTATTAAGTGACACAAGATAATAACATATACATCTACAGTCGTATTCTTTAAGGACTCAAAGTCACAAGTTAAAAGTAAAAAAGCAAACAAACTGCAGAATGAAAACGTTGAGCTGTCTGTTTCAAAAAGGCCTGAGTAATGGATTTTTACACAATACTTCAGGCAAGGCAAAAGGCCAATCATCAAAGATTTTAGTTTGGCATCTCAGGTGACCAATGAGATTTCAAGGGGGGGGGGGGGGGCACCTGGACACCCTTCTAGACACGCCCCTGTGCATCAGGTTTACCTTGGTCTGCTCAGGGGATAGATAGACACTTTATGGATCCCGAGGGACATTCAAAGCATCAAGTAGCATCTTACAAAATCATGAATGAGGGTCACTGGTTGCGCAGTGGTTAGTGTGCACGCCACAGGTACGGAGGTTGAAGTCCTCCAAGCGGGCAGCCGAGGTTTGAATCCAACCTGTGGCTCCTTTCCCGCATGTCATTCCCTACTCTCGCTCTCGCCCTGATTTCCATCTCTTTCCACTGTTCTAGCCATACAATAGAGGCACAAAAAGCCCACAAATAATTATTTAAAAAAGAAATAACAAGAAACATGAACGACATGAAACATTTGTTACATCTATCAGCGAACACTGTTGCCCTCCTATATGTAGATATTAACCCAAACAAAGCACTGTATAGATCATAATTTAACCCGTACAATTAGGAATTAGAAATTCACCAAAAAAAATTACCTGAATAAAAATAGATACTGACTGTATGCGCAATTTAATGAAACCCATGTACAGTTCATAAACACTGTTTTTTTTATTGCACAAAAAAAACAAAATCTAATAGATCAGTGGAAAAACAGACAGTACATAATGATTAGTTAATTAACTAAATATACATTTTGAAAGAAATGTGCTGGAGGAGCCAAATAAACCCAGAGGGGCTTGTCGAGTGGCCCTCCTAATGAGAAATATGTAACACAGAGACATACTATTAATGTAGTCCACGCAAAAACAATAAAGCTAACAAGAACACATACTCAATAAGGTGTAAAAGAAAGCAAAACAAGAAAGAGACTAATTAAAGAAGAGGGGGAAAAGGAAAATAAGCTCTTATGGCAGAGAATGATTATGATGGTGCATTGGACCTGTACACATTAGAGTAGACAATGAACCATACACTGAGGCTGAACTGATTTACACACTGGGCTATATTGTTTTACGCCATCAAAAAAAACATCCACAAATTATTGTTTCTACTCAGAAGAACTCCTTCATTGGCTAAAGCCCGGCACCCTGTTGTCAAAACGTGTTTACATCAAACGGGTGAGCCACACCATTGGGTGAAAGGTTCCCTCGTTATTACCATGGCGACAGTCCTAATCAGATGGCCCGCTACTGTAAACACATATTAGTGCAACAATTGTGTTTTTATTTGGAAGAGTCCCCAACAACACATGCACATGACTCCTGTTTGAGTGAAGATTTTTAGATTTTTTTCAGGAAATTGCTTTTATTTGTATGAATCAAAATGGTTTATTTTGAGAGATTTAGGTGGTAAGTAGAAAGCAGTTCACTTAGATGGTATTTGGAGAATAAACGGACACACATAGAATAACAGAAGCTGTATCAGTAAGATGAGGTGTCAGGAAAATACAGTGTTTTTTAATCATGTGTCGTATATATTTTATAACTTGGATGATGAAAGTTGAAATTTAGGGCAATCATCATCTGGGGAATAGTTCCTTGTGTTAATTATGTCATCTTACAGCTGCAGTGGGAGGTGTGTGTAAAATGATAAAAATAAAAGAGTGGGCTGTGTATCTGATGTGATGCAGCATGATGTTTACTCCTCTCTTCTTCTTCTTCTTCTTTATGCATAATGTAACTCGTATAAAGGCTTCTGTCAGTGTCTAATCAGCACATTGGAGTGGTGAGGTGTGATTCTGTGTGTCTAACGATGGCTGTGTGATCTGCAAAGTGCATCATTTCTCATCACCGGATGATTAGAAAAACAACGGCTCGACAACGACAACACAAGGAAAATAAGAATGAATTGGATCATTTGTACACATACTGCTCCTTCTATGATAATAAACTTGACTGATGAGGGTTCAGATGATTCCAGATTGCACTCTCATTGTGTTAAAAAAGCTTCAGGAAGTTATTAATACTCAGATTTATTCCCACCGCTGCTGCTGCTGTTTTCATTGCCTTATAGTAAGACATGTTTAGCTCTTTAACTAGAAAAATCTATATTTTGATTGCAGCTTGATCCAGTAAACAAACCTTTTCTAAGAGGCCTATTTATGGTTGTGTGTGTGTGTGTGTGTGTGTGTGTGTGTGTGTGTGTGTGTGTGGGGGGGGGGGGGGACCATTGTGATTTTCCTCCTGATTACACACTCCAGTTGTTTATCACATGTGAGGATGAGCAAGTTTGTTGTGTTTCAGGTTCTGAAGCCTTTTTTTTTTCCTCCCCTCTGAAAGGTGACAGCTGAACGTAAAGCGATGGATCAGATGTTCACCCATGGATCCACTAACCCTTTGTGCATGAGAGCGAATTACACACAGGATAATGTCGTTTTATTGTCAAGGCACATCCTTTAGTCGGTGGCGCTGCTTGCACAGGTTTTTTTCATTCTTGGTATTTACCTGCTTCTCTTCTCGCTTCACAGTCATAAC